TGGGTAGGCTTCTCGTGGGTAGGCTTCTCGTGGGTAGGCTTGTCGTGGGTGGGCTTGGAGGGAATGGACCCAGAGCCACCAGCATACGAGCTCTCAGTAGGAACCGGAACAGATGTAGTCTCCGAATCCTTAGTAACCCAAGTACAAGGCTCAGAAGACTCACTCGCACTTCCAGTAGCAGAAGTCAATGGGACGGGAGTCTCCGAGGAAGTGGCTGTTTCGATGGAGGATGTTGTTTCGGTGGCGACGGCGGAAGAGTGCTTTTCTGGGATGGCGCCGGCGGAGGTACTGGCGGCAAGGGCCAGGAGGGTCACGGCGTGGGTGTGTTTGAAGTGCATTTTGTTTTGGTGATGATTGCTTGATGGAGGAAACTTGAAAGATTGATTGTTGGCTGGTTGGTTGTTTGGTTGGTTGATTGATTGATTGATGCTGATGGTGATTGTAATTCAGGTGGAAGGAAGGCTATATTTATAATTGAGATCCCTCTCTTTCTAATTCTCTACTCTACTCCCATCTCCGTACTCTTCTATACAACAACGGACTCGTCAGCCATTACCGGATCCAAAGCACCACGTACCACGGATACTGAATCCGACAACATGGTTCCATTTCCTAGCAGACTGTCTCAGGAGATACCTTTGGCCCAAACTGTCAAACTCGAGCCATTTTCTACTTGCGATGTATGTTCAGACGAATGCAACCAGGGCATCGGCATCACGTGACACCCGTGTCCGGAAAACGATGCCGATCCATTCCAGACAAATTAGGAGTTTGGAAACAGGGTTATTTTTATAGAAAACGAGACATTTGGCTAGAGGACTAGTTTGGATTAATTTAGGACGGAATTGATGAGTTTGCTGTATGCCGTTGGGCTGTTTTCGGTAGACGTACTTGTGCAGATGATTAGGATGAACTATTATGGGAGAGAAGTAATGAGTTTGAGATAGAAGATTGTAGCAAAGGCTAGCAGTGTATGTTGGAGTAACACAGGGAATTGTACTTGTAGTAAGGAGTTGTGTTATTGCTGTCCCCTATAGATGTTGATGCCTGAGGCCTTAGGATCTCGGCTCCCTACTCCTTGATCGGCGGATAAGAGATAGCAAACCTCCATTCCCTACTTCGTGCAGAGTACTCTGTACACATCTCTCCCTACAACACGGAAAATGACAGATCTTCTCTCCCCCGGCGACTACGATGACGACGCCTCCCTCCGCTCGCCTTCTGAACAAGACTCTGACCCCGAAGACGACGAATTCCTCCGCCACTCACGCACCACCCTCGAACTCGCCGAACACGACCGCACCGTTCTCGACGAAGAAGATGAACTCGAAAAGCTGCTAACCCGGAGCGGACCAACGCATGGACTGCGAAGGATTTTCAGTCCTGTTAGCGCGGGGAGTGGGAGTGTTCGAATTGGGAAACAGGAGCGCAGGAGACGGCGGCAGGAAAGGAGGGAGGCGCGGAGACGCGAGCAGAAGACTGACGAGGGGGAGCTGATGTATGAGATGGATGATGGGGAGGGTGAAGGCGATGAGTTGCTTAGTAGGGGGTCGTATGAGGGGGAGAAGGTGTATTATGATGAGCCGCGGGTATCGTGGACGAGATATGCACTGGTGTTTACGGCGATTCTCGTCCTATTTCTCATCCTCGTCCTCGGCGCGTACAAAGCTTCCTCTTCGTTTAGAGCATCCCGCTACCGTCCGCCGCTGCTATCCAATGGTACAAGTCTCTTCGCACCGACAACCATCCTCATCTCCCTTGACGGTTTTCGCGCCGACTTCCTCCACCGCGGCCTCACTCCGGCGCTGAGCGCATTCATGGCGCAAGGTGTCTCGCCCCAGTACATGACACCCAGCTTCCCGAGCGTCACGTTCCCGAACCATTTTACACTAGTTACCGGACTATACCCTGAGAGCCATGGCGTGGTGGGCAACTCATTCTACGACCCGGCATTGGATGAGGAGTTTTACTACACGGATTCAGCGAACAGCATGCGACCACAGTGGTGGAATGCAGAGCCTATTTGGAACACATTGGAGAAGCAAAATGGTCGGTCGGCTATACACATGTGGCCCGGGTCAGAGGCGCATATTGGGGGCATGGACCCGGATATTGTCGACAAGTTCAACAAGTCTGAAAACTTGGGTAGGAAAACCGATCGCGTTTTGGGTCTACTCGATCAGGATGAGGATGAGCGACCGCAGTTGATTGCCACTTATGTTCCAAATGTGGATTACAATGGGCATAAATTCGGACCGAACAGTACGGAAGTGCAGAGTACTATTGTGGAAGTAGATGCCATGCTAGGCGATTTATTCGCTGGTCTAGAAGCGCGCAATTTGACCGACGTCGTCAATGTCGTGATTGTTTCCGACCACGGGATGGCCACGACTGCCACAGAACGACTCGTGCAGCTTGAGGATCTGGTCGATCTAGACTTGGTAGATCACATCGACGGATGGCCGTCGCGCGGCTTACGACCCAAGAACCTTGAGGCAGAGAAGATTCTCGAAGAACAGTTACTCAGTGCAGCACCAAACTACTCTCATGCAGTCGAGATCTACACCCGCGAAACCATGCCGGAACGCTACCACTTCTCGAACAACGACCGCATCGCGCCGTTATGGGTGATCCCCAGGACAGGCTGGGCGATCGTTGAGCGACCGGAGATGGATGCGCGAAAGGCGCTTGAGTCAGGCGAGGTCTACAGTCCGAAGGGTATTCATGGGTATGACCACGAGCATCCGCTTATGCGGGCGATTTTCCTTGCCCGGGGACCGGCGTTTCCTCATACGGCTAATAGTCGGCTGGATGATTTTCGTAAGTTCCCTTCACTCCTTTGATTTGGATGGGACTGACAAGACAGAAAATGTGAATGTATATAACATTCTCTGCGATTCGTTAGGAATTGAACCATTGCCGAATAACGGGACACTGCGGCTTCCACTACAATCCATCGGTCTTCATTCGGATGAGGATGTGCCTGTTCTTGAACATCCCCTGGATCCACCGACGAGCACATCCGCGAGCACATTCGCGAGCGCATCCACGAGTGCTTTCACAAGCCCAGTTCCTCAATCTACTCCCTCCGCGACCGATGCGCCCGCGAATACCGCAGACACCGACACTGAGGATGACGTCGAGAATCAACCCGCCTGGTGGAAGGCATTCTGGGGAAAAATGCACGACTTCAAAGATTGGGCAGAGGACATGGCCGAGGCAGTAAAGGACAACTTTGCGCATAGCGATTAATTTTTTTGCATTTGAATAGCGATGATACCCAGTAGTTAGAACAATGAATCAACAGCATTCCTTCACAGCCACGCCACAGGCATTGACTCAAGGCAGCAACATGGATTCACCAACTTCATACTGCATTGAGTGCCCGATGTTTACAATTCGTTTTTTCGGGCGTTTGTGTGAGTCAACCTGACAGCGAACCACCGGTGACACAATACGAGGTGATGAGCAGGCACCAACATCGCCAGCTCTATAAGGAGCCTCTTGCTCTTGTACATTTTCACCATCATCTCAGCCTCAATTCCCACCGATACAAGGATCGACACCATGGCTGAATCCGCCAATAACACCAACGGCTCCGGCCTCGGCTCTATCCCCGGCCCATCAATCGACACGCAGCTCCTGGAAACCTTCATCCCAGGCTATGGGCTCGCCTCGCGCATCCTCGCTACATATTTCCATCTCGACCTCAGTAGTTACATTCCCGCGCTGATCGCCGGCGGTATTATCTTCGCCGTCGCCAAATACCTCTACCACTGGCTCTACAGTCTCTTCACAGACCACTTCATTTCCACCGCAGAGATCCGCCTTGACGATGAAATCTACACGTACCTCATGTTCTGGATGGCGCGGCAGTCATTCACAGCCCGCACGACGAGTTTCGTTGCCGGGACCAAGCTGAGTGGCGGAAATCGGTACTACTCAGACGATGAGTCTGGTTCCGAGGCCGAAGATGAAGAGGAAGATGGCGAGAGCTTCGACGACTACTGGTCGCGCACAATCAACCGTGACAAGTACAAGAAGCTGCGATTCACTCCATCGCAGGGCACTCATTATTTCCGGTATAAGGGGCAGTATATTGCCTTTTCGCGGGAGCGTCAGGACAGTGGCAAGAAGTCTTCTTTCGCCAGCGTCATCCCAGAACGGCTCTACTTGTCTTGCGCGGGTCGCAATCCCAATGCTATCAAGGACCTTTTGGCCGAAGCGCAGCGCGCATATGTTGCCCGCGATGGTATCCGCACGGTCATCTACCGCGGGCAGAAGGGTTCTGGAGATTGGTTCGACTGGGTGCGGTGCATGGCTCGGCCGCCTCGTCCGCTGAGCACGGTTATTCTCGACACGGAGCAGAAGGATGCGTTCATTGCTGATATCAAGGACTACTTGCATCCGAAGACGCGGCGATGGTATTCAAACCGTGGGATTCCGTACCGTCGGGGTTATTTGCTGCATGGGCCTCCTGGAACTGGAAAGACTAGTCTTTGTTTCGCAGCGAGTGGTTTGCTTGGACTACCGCTTTACCTGCTGAATCTGAACTCGAAGAGTCTGGATGAAGACAGTCTTATGAGTTTGTTCTCGGAGTTGCCGAGACGGTGTATCGTTCTTCTCGAGGATGTGGACAGCGCTGGTATCACCAAGAAGCGCGAAGAAGACAGTACCTCCTCCTCCAGCAACAGCAGCAACGGCAAGGACGACGACGACAACGACGACTCTACACATCCAGACGACGAGAAATCCGCCGGTCTCTCACTCTCTGCACTTCTCAATGTCATTGACGGCGTCGCAGCAAGCGAAGGCCGCATTCTCGTCATGACAACCAACCACGCCGAGAAACTCGACCCAGCCCTCCTCCGCCCCGGCCGCGTCGACATGACAGTGACATTCGGCTACACCTCCAAGGCCGACATCGAGAATCTCTTCTCTGCAATTTACTCTACCCTCGAGGGCGACTGCGGTACCAAGAAGCAGCGCCAGCAGCAGTACCAGAAGAGGAAGGAAGAATTGGCCAACGGAAATGGCGCTGCTGTGGTTGCTCATGAGAAGAAGAAGGCTGAGATGAATACTCACCGTATTGCGAGATTGGCAGCTGAGTTCTCTGCGAGGGTCCCTGGGGGGGAGTTCACGGCTGCTGAGATCCAGGGGTACCTGTTGAATCATAAGCATGCGCCGACGGACGCCATTGAGGGAGCTGGCGAGTGGGCGGAGAGTGTGCTGAAGAAGAGGAAGGCATAATGACATTGTATTGAGACGGCATTGCATTTAGCACAGGGTTGTACTATAAGCATAATAACGAATGGACATGATATCATATAGCATTGGAATCTATGCAGTCCAGTCACACGACTGGATACCCGACTCTCCCACGCCCGTCCCTCACACCTACATACTACTAATACTACTAGCACACCTCACAGCACTCGCCAAGAGGATGCTTTAGTCGCGGGATAATCCACCGTTCCCTGCCTCTCCCTACATCTCCCTACATCTCCCGACTGAGAGACTAACCGTGTCATGCAGAACTACGCTTCCGATCTCTCCCTCCCATGACTCCCTCCCCAATACAACCCGAAGACAAGAAAACTCGGTCTGATCTCAATTTAGACTTCTCTAGCCTTAGTTTTCCCCGCAAAAAAAACCCTCCGTGTGACCCGCCCCAACCTGATGGCTCCGTATACACGGAGCAGAGACTAAGTCGGTATAGTAAAAGTGTGTTGGACATCCCGCACGAGGATCAACTGCAACGGTGGCATTTTGTCCCACGCTAATATGTGATCGGGTCGGGCGATCTACAATGCGGGGTGGGCGTGGTGCATTGACTCGGTGTTTTCACGGGATTGAGTCATTGGAATCAAAGGGCCGGGAGTGACTCGGTCTGTGATTTTGGTCGCCGATGCTGGAGTTGAGGTTCCTTTCACAAGGAACGGTGGCATATCTACAGAATACTGTGTACTATACTTGTACAGAGTGTTATGCTTGCAGAGGAAGAATATAGCCGACGATTTCCCGACCTGAGTGTTGCTCAAAGGGAGGAAACGCCCTAATTGATGAGGGCCTACTTATTTACACTTCGTGACTAAGGATCAACATCGCGACTCGAAAAGTCTCGAAAAGCGGCGGTTCGGTGGAATGGATAATCGTTCTGCAGAATGCACATCGGATTGTCAAATGCATCTCATCAACATTATCGACGATGATCCTCTCGGGCCGGATCACATCACATCACAGGCTGAGTAGTAGTGTATCTACATTGAAGATACTGACCTGCCTAATCCGAAGCTCAAAGAAAGGTTGAGTAACATCGGCTCAACAACTGACCGAGAATTCTCTTCTCCCACGTGTCTCGTGGACAAGACAGGTCGGCTGGAAAGAAAACGGAGTATTCCGAATACGAGCTGGGCAGGTATAGTCCGTCGAAGCGAGGGACAGGATGCCGGGTAGGTTGCCTCGGCTAGGCGTGTTCAGGCATCATCCTGTCCTGGGCCTGTCCTGGGCCTGTCCTAGTCCTAGAAAGGGAGACCGGAGCGATGGATGCATACAGTATGCGGACAAAGACAGCACTATCGAGTGTACTCTGTACAAAGTGGATATACGGAGTAAGAAAACTAGAATGTTTGCTCTGGAGCCGTGGTTCGGATTACCCCAACACAGCGCCGCCATTGGCAAAACTCATCCACAGCTTATTATTGCCAATATTCAGCCAGACCCGAGCAGCCACGTCGATGAGCGGTCAACATGCCCTTGCATACTCAGGAAGTATAGATCTTGGCCTCTCCTTGGTCCTTGGGCTCTTGGCTTTGCGGCTGACAACTAATGCATCAATTATCGCGCCTCCATTAAACTCCGAGCGCACTGAATCGATCACATTCACATCCCATCCCACCCCGGTATACAACCCAGATCTGGCTGTTTTTGGGCGACCAAAACCCGTATTCGCTACTGTAGCCAAGGAGAACCCTCCTGTCTTATGCGTTGTTAATGGTGCCTTGGACACCGCTGCGCTGTGCTTTGAATCCTTCTTTGACAGCAATTGCGGCTCAGGAGATCCACTGAATCGTCGATTCTATACTGCGTCCTCGGTTCAGGGACGACTGAACTAAACCAACCAACCAGATAAACGCAAGTATAATGGACCAGACATTAGCAAGCGGAATATCTCCGCCTCAATCCACACCTGATCCCAACCCAAGCCTTGCTTTGGCTTCCAAGTCACTAGCACTAGTAAAGTTAAGAGAGAATCTTACTTGGTCATGACCAGACCAGTCCGATTCTTGACGGTTGGACTGGACAGACTGCCCGACCCACTACATGCACCGCAGTGCACCGCGCTGCATCTCGGCCATAAGCTCCGCCATCAGATGAATGAAATGAAATCAACTGACAGATGACTCTGCCGGAAGGGATGATGGGTCTGCGAAGAAGCGGTGCCCTATATAAGGGGACTTCTCCCTGAGTCTGGAAGGGGATTGACAACTCTTTCGTCTTTCCTTATATATAGTTCCCACTTTCCTCGCGTTTAATTGTCCATCTATTCCTATCCAAAACAAGAAACATTGCATATATATAAGCAACATGTGGTCCTTCACATGGGCAGCCGCATGCCTAATAACCCTCTTCACCTCCGTCCTCACCTCCCCAATCAAACCCCGAGCCCAAGGCCCCTGGCTAGCCCTCGACACCGACTTCCCAGACCCCAGCTTCGTCCAAGCAGACGACGGCACATGGTACGCCTTCGGGACAAACGGCAATGGCAAGCGAGTTCAAGTAGCCAGCTCCCCAGACTTCAACACATGGACGCTCCTCGACAAGGAAGCCCTACCTACGCTGGCGGGGTGGGAGACGGAGGTTGATCATTGGGCGCCGGATGTTATTCGACGGGTAGCCTCTCCCTTTCACACTCCATTCTTTATACGCGATGTTAACAAAGAAACAGAACGACGGAAAATACGTAATGTACTACTCTGGCGAAGCCAAAGAAATGGTCCGCCACCACTGCGTCGGCGTTGCCGTCTCGGAATCTACAGATCCCACGGGCCCTTATATCCCCAACTCGGACCCGCTCTCCTGCCGACTAGACCAAGGAGGGTCCATCGATCCAGCGGGATTCCTCGACAAAGACGGTTCCCGATACGTGGTCTTCAAAGTCGACGGCAACAGCATCGGGAACGGCGGGGACTGCAATAACGGCGTTGCACCGCTCGTTCCGACACCGATTCTGCTGCAAAAGGTTGCAGAGGATGGGTTCACGCTCGTCGGCGATGCAGTGGAGATTCTAGACCGGGACGATAGTGACGGGCCGTTGGTCGAGGCGCCGAATTTGATCCTGCACGGGGATACGTATTTCCTGTTCTATTCGACGCATTGTTTTACCGACCCGTTGTATGATGTGCGGTATGCTACATCCAAGTCCATCACCGGGCCGTTTGTGAAGTCCGGGAAGAAGTTAATTCAGGGGGGTGAGAGTAATGGAGGTGGGTTGGACTTGACGTCGCCCGGAGGAGGGACAGTTTGTGGGTGTGGGGATAAGATGCTGTTTCATGCGTTTTGTGGGGACGTAAGATGTACTTATGCGGCGAATGTGTTTATTGATGGGGAGACTGTTGGTATTGCTTGATTCCTCTGTTATGTGGAGGGGTTCTTTCTGGAGTATATAGTTTGATATCCATATTCATGTATTTTTTTGTAAAAGACCCTATACTGGAATTCATATTGGAGACCATTCGTTCAGTTTTAAGTCATCGCTTTTATGGACAATTTTCATACTCATAAGTTACGACGCGTTAAGAACCCACGACTCAAAAGGAACACCCCGCATCTTCTCCTTCCCATCAGAACCCTTCTCATAAAGCGCCGGCTCGAATTTAGAGACTGCCGCATACTGCCGGATCAAATGCCGCCAGTAACAAGCCTCCGCAGCCGGAGTCAGATATCTATCTCGAAGCGTCTTGACAGCATTGTTTGCAATCCGCTCCGCCACTTCAGGGTTATCAAGAAGATAACCCATCTTACGATCAAGGTCTGAGAATTCCCGATCAACCTCGACATAATTGGCATCAGTGCCAGTTGCCACAAGCGCGGCGTGGTGTGCTTCGCGCCAGATCATGCTGTGCGAAATCACTACCGAGCGGCAGTTCATCAGATACTTGCCGCGGCCGGAGAAACTGCGGCCTTCGGTGTGTGCAAGGAACATATAGCGACAGTGGTCTTCCATCGGCAAGAGACTCTGCTCGACATCTTTCGGGTCTCCCCAGTTGATTGATTTAACACTAGACCAGCTCTTCCCGCTAGCAGCGTCCATCAACTTTCCGCGGAGTTCCGGGTTGGTAGCAACACTTCCGTGCCAGAAAAGTTGCTTCTTCTTATCTTTGAATTTGAGGCCAGAGACGACCTTGCCATTCACCGTCATTCCCCCATCATCGATCGCGGCGATCCGTTGTCTGATATCCTTGTACGGTCCGACGCTGACCTCTGGCCACGACCAGTACCCGAAATCCGGCATTAACCATATTCCCTCTTCGTCGTCCCGCTTAGTGTACGCCCATACGGGGGATTCGCCTCTGCTCATGTCCTCTGTGGTATAGATGAATTCGATATTGGGAAGATTCTGCCGGTCCGGGAACGCAGCCAATGCGCGGTGCAACGCATATAGCGACGCCTTGCCTCGGGTAAACGTGACAGTGACTTTCGCAAAATCGATAACATACAACTAGGAAAATAATCGAGTTAGGGAGATAATTCTCCGAAATAACCAAAGTGGGAACAGAACACACCTCTCCATGATGAATCATACCCCTCACCATACCATCCTCGATCGGTATCGAATCCAACTCCTTAAACGTAATTGGATTATTCTCCCTAAATGCTGCGGACTTGTCGATTTCGAAATATAATTTCGGAAACGCGATGCGACACTGCTCCTCCGACAATCCGTGGTTATCCGCATCGCGCTCGACCACAAACTCCCATTGCGCATTCGTATCATTGGCAGACGGCGATGGTGGTGCGTGGTATGCCGTCGACGACTTGATCACGTATTTTGCGGTTCCGCTGGAGTGGTTATCGAAGAGAAAATAGGTAAGGATAATGAAGGATATGAAGGCGCCGACGTATATGCAACGGATCCACAGGGATTGGCCCCGGAGTGAGGGCGTTGGTATATGCATGTCAAATGGAATATATACGAAAAATATACGAATTAATAGAACAAAAAGGGGATATGTACGCCGGACCAGGCTTGATGTGAGATGTCACAGGCTCCGAGAATATGTAAGGTTGCTGCTGCAATGCCAAAGTTGGCTCTGTCGATGTGCCGGCCTTGAGGACAGCTTATGACGATTTTAGTAGAATAAAGACGGTCATCTCTGACTGATTGTGATAATGAGAGAGGAGAGAGGTGAGAGTGATAGCGATACGAGTGTCACGGAACAGTTGGACAAAACTCAACTAGATGATGTCATCCACGTCGATAGCAATCAAAATAGTAAAGGAGGACTAGGGAATTGCACTCCAGGATATAGTGATCTAGATATTTTCAAGAAATGTCAAATTGAAAGGTGTTGTTGCCAGAATCTCACGATGATTGTTTATTTTCTCGTATCTTGGTGGATTGGTTTGATTTGTTTGCATTGGGACTCTTCTTGACAGCCTCATATAACGACCAATAAGGAGCAGATTCTATAGCACGGACTGGGACTAGTCGAAGCTAGTGTCCTCAGGCTAGCCCTTATCTAGCGATTGCCTTGCCGTCTTGCGCTCATCTGGATCTATCCTCATCATGCTCTTGAGAAACGAAACAAACTCTTCCCTATCACTCCCGGACAGAGTCCCAATCTTCCAAAAAGGCTCCTGGCAGTCCTGGAACCGGATCGCGAAATTTTCCATCCTCGTTGAAGCATCTCGCCATCAAAGCGCGGTCTCCCTGTTCCAGTAGCCGCCGGGGGAAAGGTCCGAATAGAGCATCGATTTCTTCAAGATGATTATTTGTTTTATAAGATCAATTCTTTGATGATCGACCCTCAAACATGTGTACTGCATCAAGAATCTCGAGTAGGATGGCCCTAAAGTTCAAGGCATCGGCTAAGGCTCCCATGGAGCTCCAAGAATCACTTCTGGTGCTCGAGGTAGCACGGGTTGGGTGACTAGCGTAAGGTGATTATCCGTCTAGCTGACAGAGCCCCAGTCACAGAGAGTGATGCTAGGGGGCATCAAGTTGGTGGATTCATATATAAAAGTCAGTGGTTGAGTGACAATAGCAGATGGATCAGAAGCGGGATCGTAAGCAGTGGATCAGCAGATGCTGCTTTCAGGTAATCGATTTATGGAATTTAACAGATTTGGACCATGATTTTTGGGGGCTTTGTCTCTATACACCGTTATCCCCCGTTCAGTACTCAACTCCAAACCTACGATCAGGGCATTTACCTGTATGGATGATGTGGCATTCCTGCGTTTAGTCCAGAGCGAGGATAAACTGATCAGCAAAACGCTGCATGAGGGGATTCAGCATCTGGAGTTTAAGGAACAATGTGCAAAAACCTCCGCCAGATGTTCAAAGAAAAGGAAAGCCATACATGGCGTCCGTTCGGTTCAACGTGCTTCAAGAAATAAAGCAATCTTGGGGTATATCTATACCCCGGATGAGCAAGATTTGAATATTGCAAACGTTTGAGGATCTCTGACTCAAATATGTCTTTCTATGCCATAGCATTCCGCGCTAAGGACTTTCAACGTCCTATAACTTCCGCACCTTCAAGTTGGTTAGCTAGGGAATATACGTATAGGGAGTGTATTTTAGCGCATGAGTCTCACCTTTGATATCTAATTAGCCATACGGCAGAGTACAAAGCTTCCTGAGGACTTCATAATGTCCATCCAACACATCTCCCAGGTTAACGGAATTGAACCCGCCATAATAGTAAGTCTTCTTCGACACCGCGGCTAGTCATCGCCAATTTTGCTGGGAAAGTGGCGCTGGCAAGTAAAGAGGAAGATTATTACTTAGCAGAGAAGATAGTACGATTTTTTGTACACGTGATTCGAACTGCCGTACTGAGAAGAGAATAGAATGATGCAGTGAATGCAATAGTGAGAAAGATCAACCTTTTATTTTGTCTCCCCCTCTCTTATATTTCTCTAATTCCTTTGCTTATCTTGTATCTAACAACAATCAAAGGAGCACTTGACAACATCCTCGGATTTTCCTTCCCCCAAGCCGCCTACCTTAGACCGTCCGCTTCCTGCAATAACATGGTAGACGGCAGAAAGGGTCTCTTGGCGAGGACCAGAAGAGGTAGCAGCATCCAGTCTTTCAGCATAACCGCCCAAAACTCGACTTACTGCTCATCCCGCGTCAGTCATCGGTGTTTATAAGTCCAAAGTGATACTCCATACCTTCACCACCAACTGCTCTAAGATAGCGTTTGGTGGCCCAATTACCCGGGTCACCATCCAACTGAGCCTTTATCTGGACCCAGGGAGATACAACGGGCGAGGTGGCCATATCAATATCCTCGGCTGGATACCGCGGCTAATTGAAGTGCTGTACAAAGTGGACAGGAAAGTGACTGAAATTAGGCAGATCAAGACCTTGCTGGAAGGACAAGAAATGCCTTTCAGAAAGCCCGGATTCGTCGCTTATCGTGCGGTAGTCGAGACGAACAAGATGAGAAGTGATCCTGGAATGTCATGAATCCTAGAAAGACCAGCTTTGAGTATCTGGTATGTCACATGCACTGACAGGCGTTGCATATCATGATAGTGGCTCTAACCAAAAGATAAGGATTGGAGACTCCAGGCACGTCATGGCATACACATTTGGCGCAGGACAAGCATTCAACATGGTTTTGCCTCATATTTTTATATCAGACCCCACACCTGGAATTCACAGAGCGCACTTGAGGACATGAAAGTGCAATTTCAGGGCTGAGATCCAGTGTAGGTTATCTCGCCTTGGTCAGGCTCACAAAGATAATCGGCGTGGTCAAAAACTATCAAGTAGCCCTTGCTCAGCGGTTCTTTGCTTAACAGTTCGACAGTAGGGCAGCTCATCATACTGGGCGACGCTGCTCATGCCATGCTCCCATACATGGTTAGAGTAAAATGAGCAATCAAAACGCTTCGTGTTGGCACATATGCTGATCTATAGAACAGGTGTTGCAATTGCAGTGGAGGACGGCGTATCCATGGCTCGCTCGTTATCGCAGATTGACTCCATCGAGTAGTTGCAGGAAGCACTGAAATTTTTTGAGATGGTGCATATTGAGCGCGCTGGCCAGATACAAGATGCTAGACTTTTCAACGGCCAACTATGGCATTTTACCGATGGGCCCCTAGAAGAGGCGCGAGATTCCGCGATGACACTGGAAGTGAAGGGGATTCAATTCAGTCATAGTCTAAACCAGCGGAGCGACCCTGCCACCCAGACGTGGTGTTACGGCTATGATGTCGAGGAAATTGACACAGCCCGGTTAACGACTTCGGGCAACTACCGGTCCGCTCTTTCCCCGGAGCCCGCACACTACTATTCTGTCTTCCGCTTAGTCCCCGGTTCCCCTGTCTCCCATGATTTCGACTAAACATATGTCTGTTACAAAAATCTTACAGTCATGGACCTTTCGCCTCATCAGTCCACTCCTCGGAATCAGTCGGTCAAGCGTCGCCGAGTGGCTCTGGCTTGCGATGCCTGCCGAACGCGAAAGTCAAAGGTAGGATCCCGCTAACTCTGTATGCCGTCAGATAAGTGTTAATTGACTCTCTCTCAGTGTGATGGTAGCCGCCCCAAATGCGGCATGTGCAAAGACTTAGGCTTTGACTGTGCCTACACCCCACCAGTCACAGCTACGAATGTGATTGTGCAGAAGGAGTAAGCTAGAGTTATCTGCAGATCCGCAATTTCTTTACATAGTAGCTTCCGGCTCATTAGTCGACAGTTATCTGAAGGACCTTGAACTACGCGTCAAATCGCTTGAGGACAATCTGGTCACGGTCAAATCTGACCTTTCCGGTTTAACATCGCACATGAACCGGAGTAGTCCTAGCTACCCTTTGAAGGAAATCGAATCACAACACCGAGATGAGCCATCCCCCGATTTTGTAGGCACGGAAGACACGGTCGATGCGATGGGAGCTGTGGCATTTGCTGACGAGAAGGATTGTGGATTCTTCGGTGAGCCTTACTGCTTCTCCACGAAGAATGATTCAACCAGAGCTAATGTTGCTTCAGGCGCTTCATCGAATATCGCCTTCCTGCGTCATTTATCCCGCGCTGTAGCACATAGTGAAAGTACACAGAAGGGAATTACTTCCCCCACAACGGACCACATCACTCATGATGGAGGATTTGCCAGCGCCACGCGTCCTCCATCGCCATCGCTGGGCCAGATTTCTGAAGCTTTGCAAGAAAGGCCGTCAAGCATGTTCACATTGCCATCTTCCGAAGAGACTTTGACACTCATCCATCGATATTTTGGCGACACTGGACTGCTTTTCCCTTATATTCATCCACCTACATTCTTCGACACCTACTATCAACTAAAGAACAATTCAAAGAGGGTCCGACGTACATGGTTGGGCTTGCTGAATATAATACTTGCTATGGCTAAATTAACATTGGCTTCGGGACGCTCACCTGCTGAAACCTGCATCAGCGAGTCTGCTGTATACTATCGCCGGGCGTTAGACCTCTGTAAGGGAGAGATCTTACGAGGGACAACACTGGAAGTTGGTAAATATTTCCCTTCTATGCTCACATAGACCCTTTTGCCTGCCACTAATATCTAGATAGTGCAGTATTTATTACTCATGGGCCAGTACCTTCAGGGAACACAGAAATCGGTTCAGGCGTGGACGATACATGGCTTGGCCGTTAAAGCTGCACTCCAGCTCGGACTCCATTCGAAAGACGCCTCCAAAGCGTTTCCTCCTTTGGAGCAGGAGACACGGAAAAGAACGTGGTTTGGGTGTGTGGTTCTAGATAGGTGCCATTAATCACGCCTGCTTGAATATCATTTCAATGCTTCTGACTGTTCCCTCTCAGGACCCTGGGCATGACCTTTGGACGACCGGCTGCGATACCAGACTGCTATGTTCAACTCGATCTACCAGCCTTCCAAGGTATCACCGAGGTTATTCCCACGGCCGACCATGACGAAGTCCGCCATAGCATCCAATTCTTTAATAACACCATGTGAGCTGCGTCATTCTCCCAACTGCAAGGCCCAACGCAGTGCTAAAACCCTCTCTAGAACGTTGTATAAACAAATGGCCAGCATAATTGATCAAATATATGGTCAGAACCTTGGATGTGGTCCGCCTCTACCGGTGGGTGAGACTGTTAGCCGTATCCTTGGCATCGAAAACCAACTTTTCTGCTGGGTGATGGCGCTCCCCGAATGCCTCCGACAAGTGACTGTCGAAGGAATGCGAGATGAGATAGAGCAGTCGCAAAATCAGCCGCAGCTCTTTCCATTGAAATTTCGTGTCATTCTGACTCTGCGGTATCTGCACATCCAAATCCTCCTACATCGGCCCATCCTTGTTAAGTTCCTAGATGCTACGCGAGCTTCCGGAATTGAACCCGTCGAAGACAGGCTTCTCAACGATATCGGCTACAGTAGCATGAAAAAGTGTATCGAATCAGCTACCGGAATTATTGATATTATCTCTGAACTTGTTTCGTCATCTGGATGGCCACGAGAACTTCTTGGCGCTTGGTGGTACTCGCTCTACTATAGTAAGTTACAGATGTGGTGTGATAATTCATCTAGTGATGTCTGATTTCTTCTTTACTGTAGCATTCAATGCGGCACTCGTCATCATTGGAGCAACCTGGGTCCACAGGACCAGGCAGTCGGGCAAGGGCTCTGCCAGTATATGTGCCAACATTCACATCTATCCCAGTCGCGCGGTTGAAACGTTATATAAACTGGACACTGGCAATCGAATGGTAGATCGCTGCAGATACTACCTTGAAGAGTTAATGTTTGCCCTTCGTCTCAAGCGTAAGGCTTCTTCGCGCGCCGATACAAACGCATGAGCTGACCAGATGGAACAGCAGAGGATATGCCGGATCAACCTAACATGGGCTTCCCAGTCATGGAAACTTCGACCCCTAACGTCAGCTTCCCTTCATTTGGTATTGAGTGTGGCGAGTTTATGCTGGACGATCTATTTATGCACCGCTTAGGGTTCGAACGTTGGTAGGCTGCTGTTAGTAGGAATGCCGAAAGCTAGGATCAATGCCGAACCGATAGAAAAAGGAAAGAAAGAAAGAAATAAAGGAACGCAGACCATTGTACTAGCATTCTTTCACGTACTCTCCAACACATCTATGCATCTATCATAAAAAGTCCTCAACAAATGTACCTGAAAATCCTTTGGTCCCTGAGGTAGCTGGCTAGTCGGCCGAAGTTGGCATAGTAAATCACAATATCTAGGTTTCGTATGGAGGCCACACCGAATCGTAAAATTTAAGCGTGGCACCTGCTACTTGCATGCATATCAATACACATCCTTTGTTTTTCTATGTGACCTGCAATGAAACGTTTCTTTCAACTACCCAGCTTCCATGTAACCATTTCCGCAAGCACGCAGGGGGGCAGAATCTTTTGGAGCTCACTTAAATAGTCTCATAGCTGTATATATTACTTTCAGACGCAGGATCTCTCTGCGGAATGAAAATAGGCCCCTGGACCATATGTGTCTTGCTAAGGAAATAAACCTCCGTCAAGTTGTCAAAACGATCATCCGCCTTCGAGCTTCAACGTGGTACTTTGCTGCTCTTCTCAATAACTAGAATGTATCAGCAGAGCTTGGAATTTCATGAAGAAGCCGCTCATTCAGGTCATCTAGGACCAGCCCTACAAAGTGTATACCACCCCTCTTCCCCCCTTTCCGCCAAACCCCATACTTACCGTCGCCAATGAGAGTCTGATCCACATTTAGGAGCATTCAGTAGTGAAATTACATTGACCTCGTATTGGAACCGAGTCCCTATCCACGGCGATTACTGCCACTTTCCGTTCCTTCCCCAGCAACTTTCCAGACCACTCCTCGTGGTATCCCCGAAATGATGGCAAGAATAACTAACTATTCTTATTCACTTGACTATCACTTTAATATATCTCTCCCTTGGGAACATTTGGTTTGACTCTAGGCCCTTAATAGCCAGGTTCTGCGCGGCGAGCCAATTTTGCCAGCTGATGAAGAAGCTGATTTGGAGATCACTTCCAACGCTGATCAGCTCCAAGTCAGAGTGATTAGTGGAAGTGATATCTACGACGTTACTTGCACTATCCAGGTAACGGGCGAGGTCATGGCTATGGAACAGAACTTATTGCCACTCGCACAAAGCGATATTCCCATTTTGCGTTGCGTGGGCCTCAATTGCACTAAGCACAGTTCATACTATTCTTCCGATTTTCCCATGCTCATGTCCTGAGAATTTGTTTATTTATCGAGTACCTTCAAAATAGTATGGGAAACCGGATGCAAGCCGTCGCCATTCCCCTTCATCTTCTTGAAGCCAAATATTTGTGTTCATGACCAGACACGGAACCCTATGCAGCCAGAAGTACAAATTGTCAACGGGTTTTTGGTATCTAAAGTATTCATTCCCTGCCAGTTGTTATATAGGGATTCAATTTCTTGGGGCTTTAGAAGCACCTATCTTTTTACATAGGAACGCTCATTAGTGAAGTCAAAAGTTGATGAGTGGAAAAGCTGAGTATGACCCCGGCAGTTTCTAAATACACGGATATATACAACACAAGTATTGATTAGAGATATTAACATCCCTCCAACATGCCCTGTAAGGCCGTCTTCTCTTCTCCAGTCACCGTCAGATTGTATACAGATTTGACCGTAACCCACATCTTTGCGTATGTACAATGATATGACTCTACTACTTGTCAGCTAACAATCATTTGAATGCACGTGAAATACTAACCCAATGGCGGCTTCCATTCCTCGGGACCAGAGTCGCCCTTCGCCTGATTAACATTGTCTGTGACAGCCAGCAACTGAGGATGATCCAGGTCATTGGCGAAATTTTCGCGTTGATCAGTGGTCCATTCAGATGCGCCAGACTTTTTTTTTCCCCCCCATCAGCACGCATAGCTACATCAAAGTGAGAAATGAGTTATACCTTCCATGCATTAGCCAATGGAACTACATGGTCGATGTCCAGATCGCTGGCCTGAGTCCAGGTCTCGCTATCGTACGGAGAATACCACGTTCCGCTGGTAGCACTGCAAGAGTCGTCTTGCACAACATCGGTGCCGTCGCGTTTCAGAATAGTTTCGCGGGTGGTGCATCTTTTGTGTTCATGAGTACATTTCGACGATATTGGATGTCCATGCATACCCATCTCTGGTAATCCAGTGAGGGAACAGATCCCGGTCATAACCATCTTGGGATCCGGCACTCACGGCCAATTCGGCAAGTTGCGACGTCGCTGTTGAGACCGAGGGAATACCCGGTGGGGTCGCCAGGGCGAAGGGGAGGACAATGATAGCAATGAATTTGGCCATGGTTGATGGGCCGTTGCAACTGGGGAAAGACGTGCCTTTATATACATTGCCCTTACATGAATTATGCACGGTATCTTATCGCTTAAACAGGTCAAATTAAACAATATACAATTGATTACATACTAAGCCTTGGCGCTTGGTTAATACCCAATACTTTGAGCCGGCATCAAATCCGTCCAGATTAAGTGCTACTTACCACTGAATGTGCTTGTCGTATCACAATCTGAAAAGCGGCAACGTGCGAGGGACCTCCGGCCTCCGACACCTGCAGATGTCCTATGACTAGTACCTCAGCTATCTCTAAATTTTTCCTGGTCGCTCATTTTTAGACTGAGTCCCCGTCTCCGGCCAGGCCAATTAACATTAGACACATTCTTTACACCTTTGTTCGAAGATATTCTTGAGCCGATGCAGTATGCCTGCGCCTGGAACCATGTTTCACAACCCCTCCCAGTCGAGATCTATAAGACACGGCAATGCATATCGAACTTATACATTCTTTAATCATACTTAGGCCTGTAAATAATTGATGAGAATTGAGGTGATATCGGATAGAATAGTGGGCCAGCAATCTCTTCGGGAGATGCCACTGTAGCTATATGTTAGTTGGCTAAGCACTTGCTCTATTATTGTTATTATTGGCGGTAACTAAACAACCAGTATTATCTTCTTATCGTATTGAAATTCTCCTGTTGCTATAGCCCCATGCAGTCTGATTATTGACTCCCCAACCCGTCTGAGCTATCCACTAACAAGCAAAGCATACCTACAAAACCCAACATGAAACAACAAACAATTAAGGAGAGAGGTCATGGCTCGTAAACGTCACTTTTCCTTTCTGCCACGAAGAATACGCTAGAAAAAGTGGTCTTCAAAAGGCACCTGGGTTCATACACCGGAGATTGGCGCATCCCAGACGATGGCGTTCACGACGTCCTACAAATCAATAAAATTCTGGATCACCTTCATCAGTCTAAGTGCGGGTTTTTCTCAACAGTATTCAACTTTAAGCAATATCACATACGACATGCTCTTCATCAGCATTGTTATTGGGTCTACCGCTTGGCCACCATGGGCAAAAAAGAGCAAGGCAGCAACGTTGATATTCATCCTTGAAAAAAAGACGGTTCCACCTCCTCTGCAGAAGGGAACATTTTTTGTTTCTGCGTCTTCCTTGTGGCAAGTATCATACAAACGGCCCTTACTGGGCCGACAGGATTGTTAGTCCGTCTTGAACAAATATTCGACTCATAATTTACAAAGAACCCCTCTGCCAGGAGCAAACCATAACCCACAGCAAGCTTTCAATGGTTTCTATGAGTGAGCAAAATGGCGTATGGCTCCAGCACCATCCACCAAGCAATGCAATGGCCATTTGGCTGGCAGCCGGTAAATCTATGAGAGGGACGCCGGATTTTCTATGACCTAAATTCATTTATTGTCGGAATCAGAAGCAGTACTATAACAGACATGGTTGATATTGAATGTCACAATACAGGTTTCCCCGTTCTGTGCAATACAAAGAATGAGGTGGGTTATGCCATGAATGGATAGACATCCTTCTGTCGTCCCTGATGCCGCACACGCGGTGGATGAACAGTCTGAGGAACGCATGGTAGCAAGGTCGCTATCAATGCAGATATCTGGGCCAACGAAGGCGCATTCCAAGGCTCCTTGGACGTCATCAACACCACGCTTTACAAAAAGGGTTATCCAGATCTCGGAACGCGGCTCGTGCAATTTGAAGACGTCGGCGACCCAGTGATCGAGGATTTTCGGATGCGGAGTAAATTGTATGTAACTTTTGGACGCAAGATGAGTGCGAGTGCAAGGAATGACGTGGTTGCATATGAGTTGGTTGAATGGGTAGTTACAAAGGTCAAGGATTGTTGAGTCTGGCATTTATTCTATGGCTCGTGGCGTGAGATATATGAGTATCGGGCTGTTTCTTCCGGCTAGAATGAGAGCTACTATTTTAAAAAGTGAGCACGAGCTTCTTTAGCGATGAATGACAGTCTCAGTGCTTTTCACTCCCTGTTCATCCTATATAAATTTATACATGACCCCCAATCACCTTGGTGTGTTTTCATCCTAGTGGGCTAAGGCTCCTCTTATCGAATAGGCAGTATTCGCATGACATTGTTAAATAATAAATATATATGTATATAATATCCCAAGTATACTGTATACTCTCTTATTGGTAGCCACATGACAGGACATGGCTACTACTACGAAAGCATGCGTCTTGACTACAAACCTCAACAAGACCAACCAAATTCCCTAGGAAAACCAAACATGCCTTTCTTCCAAAAGAAATATGTCAACAAAGTCAGTCTACTAGCCATTTAGGCTGGTACACCAGTGAATGGCGCATCCCAGTCGACTATATCCACGACGTCCTGAGCACCGACGAAATCTTTAATCCTCCCGATCCGATCAACAGAATCAATAACAATGCCCATCATGTGCAAAGACCATTGATTCTCGGGGAATTTCATGGATCATATTCTCTATCGGAAGCATTACGGGTCTTATGGGGATGGGAGTGGTCATGGAGACGGCAAGGGTGATTCGGGGACTACGACAACTAGGAGTACAGGGAAGAGGAAACGAGGATACCTAGAAATGTGAATATTACCCTTTGACGAGGAATTGGTTAAGTCCCCACAGCGAAAGGGGCCGTTTGCGTCTCTCCTCCTTTCTTTTGGTTGGTAGCACTCCACTCCTTCCATTTTGCTCCACTTTACCTGATCAACCCTAATTGTACTCGTGCTAACTCCATTATATGATATCAGGCATCCGACGAATGGTCTACAAAGAACTCCTCTACTACACCAAAATCACAATTCACAATCCCACCCGCCCTTCGATCACCGTCAGAGAACGAAATGGCATATGGCTCCGGCATAACCCTCACCGAAACGCACTCGCTATACTAGCCGTGAGCCGCCAGGCATGCGAGGGACGGCGGGTATTCTATGGGCTGAATATGCTTGTCTTTGAGGAATTCGGTGTTATCCCGGTGTCCTTGGTTGGTATTAGGCGGTATGATGCTATGTTTCTGCAGTCTGTGAAGTGGGGGAAGGAGTAAGGGAAATGGCAGGAATGTATTGAGGTCCTTCAGCCGTTTCTGGTGCCTGTGGTGGAGGAGGAGGAAGAAGAAGAAGAAGAAGAAGAAGAAGAAGAAGAGGGCGAGAAAAACCATGAAGAAGATACCACACCACAAAAACTGAAAATCTGGGCCGACAAACTCCTTGCCGCGAAACACCCACAGCCATGTACATCATGTACGACAGCGACAGAGATCGACTCCTGCGATTCGAAGACGCAGGCAACTTTGTATCCGGTGACATTCGCGAGCGACACAGCATGAATGTCACCTTGAAAACTAATATGAACGCAGGCAGTATCATGAAGAAAGGTGTGGTTTCGTCCTGGTTGCTCGAGCGGAAAGGAAGCCGTTTGCCACGAAGTTTAAGGTCTAGTTATGAGTATTACTAGGCTCGTCAGAGGGGGGATGTCTGGCGATGGATTGGAATCGACCAACGACGGATAAAAACTAGTTGTTCGTTATTTGAAGACTCATCCAGATCATAGAGGCTATAAGCTGCTTTCTGCCCTCTATCCATTCGACTGTGCAGCCAGAAGGTCCTATCCCCGTGTCCATTTGTGTTCGCTAAATGCAGCTTCAAGATCAATTAAAACAGCCTAATCAAGGAGGTTAAGGAGGTCAAACAATCGTGTTCGTGTGAACTGTATCTTTATTTGTATCTTTATCTGTATCTGTATATCTGTATGTATTCAGGTAGGGGTATCTCAAAATCAAATTTAAAACCACAATGAAAAAGCGAAAATCAGCAAATAGCAAGCTAGGCTTATAACTAGCCTATACAAATGAAAAAGCGAGTATCAGTATCAATCATCAGCAACAAGACAACAAGACAAGGCAAGGTGCAAATATCGCTTCTCGTAACAATCGGCATGAACTCGCATTATATACTTCTCTCCATCTTCTTCAGACCTCTCCGATATAATCGAGGGAAAGAAAGCAGCTATGTCCTCGCGGGGCTAGCATTGCTAAAATAACTCTGATCAATCTTCAAAATCCACTCTACCTTCTGTGCCTCTGTCCTCGTCGCAAACAAGAACGTATTCTGCGTCCCATAGATCGCAAACACATTCGGCTGTCCACCACCACCCCTCGAAGGCGTACCCGATCCACTACCACTACCAGCAGTACCCAGCAGACGAGCGAAATCCGGCGCATGATCAACGCGCGAGCTGCGCAGATTGATTGCGTTGATCTCGTCGCCTTCAGGGACGCTGTAGACATGGAGGTAGGGCCGACGGAGCTCGACGAAGCGGCGTACCCAGTGGTTATTTGTGTCGTCAGGGGTGAGGATATAGCCCGATTTAGTAGAGGAAGGGTTCTTGGGGAGTGTTTGGATTGTTGCGATGAAGCGGGGTTTTAGGGGTGGTTGTTGGTCTGATGAGTCACCACTTGTGCTGCTGCCGTCTCGCGAGACGGGGTGTTTTGTCTGGGCGAACGCTGCTCCTCCGGCTGGGGGTTCGGTGTTTGTGCGGACGAGGATTGCTTCTGTGGGGTCTGTCTTGGTCATCCAGACGTCGAGGTATTTGCGGAGGAGGTTTGCTTTGTGGTCGGTAAGTTCCTGGCTTCGCAGGGGTGAGCGGCTGGTTCGGGTTGACGAGGGGACGAGGGAGACTGCGCTTAAAGCTCCTTTTGCGGCATTGAGTTCGGCCATGCGTTGGCGGTGCTTACGCGCGGCGAGGTAGTCTTTGACTAGGGATACTTTGCGCGGAGACCATGTTGTTAGGAGTTCTTCGCCCTTGACGTAGTCGTTTTGGGTGTTCATGCGCCAGAGGTCGGCGGCGCGTTTGGCGGAGACGGGTCGGACGGCTAGGGAGAACATGCGAACGGTGGAGTGCACAATGCGAGTTGTGTTGAAGAGCTGCTTGAACATCGACTGCGGGCGGACATACGTTCGTCCTTGGATCTGAATCATCGGGTCGACTTCGAACACGACAGGGTCCTGCAACCGCGACGAGATCAGGTCCCATCGGACAGTGACCTGCACGCGGTACTTATCCGCAGTAACGCGATCGAGAAGAAGCGAACCGTGCAAACTCGAGTCCCACTGGCCGACGATCGTAACGTTAGACGTCCCATCAGCATTGTCCTTCACCATCGGTTCCTGGACAAACTTCAACTGCACATCGGGAGTCTGCAGATCCTGGTCCGGAATCTTGCCCCAAGGATCAAGCATCCGAACAGATCCTACACGGATACTCCGAAGGTCATCCCACGGAAGACTCTCGGTCGAGCTATATGTGAGGTTAATCGAGATACGACGCTGCAAACCCTGGTGAAGCTGGTATGTGCCCGCATCCAAGCTGTTGTTCTGTACCACCTCAACAGGGAGGTATTCACCATTCTCCGCCAACTCAAGGATCTGGATCCGAGCAAATACGTCATGTCTCTCTTCCGAATAAAATTCCGACTCCGCGATACGGGGTGTCTTGCGTTTCTGAGTACCAGGATCAGCCGAATCGCGAATGTCGTCCCAGCTTAGAAGCTTATCCAGGTGCATTTGCGTAACTTGAGCGTAGACGCAGACTTTCAATGCAGCACTTCGCGGGCTGTTGAGTGGTAGACTCATGCTATGCACACTTTCAAACCGGACGGGACTTTCATCAAAGCCGCTGGTCATCTGTGTTGTCGTAGCGCCTCCTTCATCAGAGATCCCTGGTACGAACAATTGCGCATGGACATCAGATCCTTCCCACTCGTTGAAACCGACCATATCACGCATGACGACGTTGAACTTAAGGGTGGACGACGGTGCCTGGGCAGAAGATGGCTCCAACGACAGCCTGATTATACCAACCACGCTCTGAGTATACGGCGAAGTGACTTCAACAGAGAAATCCTGCACACGAGTCTCAAAGACAGCTGTAAGCGGGATATCGGCATCACCAACAAGCGAGTAACGCGGCGAGCAAGGCTCAGAGAAAGGATTATCCAGCTTGAAATGCTGAATATAATCAGGCCGATCAATGTACTGATGCAACTGACGCATAGCCTGCAGACGACGTTGGAGCTTCTCAATCGACCATAGGTGGATAACGCATTGCTTATAGTCGATGACACGAACCCCGACACAGGGCTTCTTCGCCTCGTCCAGCACGAAATCCTCATCCCCAGAAATCCCGTTCAGCACGAGATCGTAAGAAGACGCCATATTATGTCCATGGTCGACAACGGCGAACTGAAACGAAACGTTTTTGTCCATAATCTGGCTCATGACCTGCGCTTCCTTCAGCAGCGACGCATACTGTAATACCTTCTCCGCCATACGGACATAGTTCTGTTGTGACCAGTGGTGATATACGATACGCGCGGTTTCAATTTCCTCAGGCTCCAGCTTGGCAAACCCATTCTCGAAGATCTTCGGGGGAACTGGTTTCCCCAGACCCTTCATCTGCGACTCGAAAATCTCTTTTTGCTTCTTAAGTTGCTCTTCATATTCCTCCTTGGCCGCGCGAAGGGCCTCTTCCATCCGGACCTTTTCAGACCGCACGTCGTCGACGTCCTGGTTGGACGAAGCTTCGGCGTTTTTCAACTTATCTTGGTATTCCTCTTTTTGTCGATCCAGCTGGCGTTGCATATCCTGGCGCACAGAGTGAAGCGTCGAATCACCGTTCTGACCCTCGTCCTCTTGCTGCTGGGGGGTTCCTGGCATCGTAATGGCAGTATCCAACGAGAAATTGTCGATGGTACCGTTTGACATGTACTTATCTCGAACCGGGAACGAACTGAGCGAGTCAGAATCTTCTTCGTTTTCCATCAGCCCTCGACGAGTCGCCCTCACTTTCTGCACGTCTTCGAACAGAGCGTCTAGTTCGTCGTCAGGCATATGTGAAATTTGATCCGGTCCCATCGCTGCGCTAATAGCTTCGCGACGCGCCTGGAACCAGTCAGATTCCCGGCCACGCTGTGAGGGCAGGGGGGATTCAGCCCTGTTCGAGTCGCCATCGTGCTCAGAGCCAGTCTTGCTCTGACTTCGATCATGAGTCTTCGGCGCTGGGGAGCCGAGCTGGCTGCTGGTAACGGAATGTCGTAACAAGCTCTGCTCGACACGCTCTGCACGAGCCTCTTGCGGGTGGTTGAACCGGAATATGTGGAAATCGCCCAGGATAATTCGGAAACCACTCTTCAGGCGCTTAGGTTTATCGATACGCAGGCCGTTGACCATGACCGCTGCGCCCTCAGTCGGGACAAGAGTGACAATATTGTCCGCGTTTTCGAATTTGCAGTGGTCGGACATGATCTTAGACCCATTCAGCCTGATCTCAACCGCATTTCCTTGGTCCATGTGTCCAACAGTCGTAGTGCCAGGCTTGATGTTGTAGACAAGGCATTCAGCAAGCAATGGATCGTCACTCAGGTTGACCAAGTGAGGCATTTTCTTCGGGGTACTTAACCCGATAAACCCCTTCTCGATGCTGATACCCAATTCTTCCAGGGCGGATTCACGTTCCTTGTGAATCTTTTCTGTATTCTGCATCTTCTCTTCCCATGTCTGGTTCAGATCCTTGTAAAGCTTCTCACTCTGATTGAGTTGTTCGACAATCTCCGCCTTGCTAACTTTGGTCACGCTGCCGTCTGTCTGGTGAATAGACACGACTTGTTGTTCTAACGGTGTGTCAGGTGGATAATATTCACCAGTAGGTATACCACCAGGAGCCCCCGGTGCAGCACCAGCCGGAAGGACGCCGCCAACAGCACCAGCTGCTCCTCCACCAAGCTTCGATCTGAGTTGTTGTAGTTCCTCCTTCAATTCTCGGATCATACGTGCATTCGGGTCCTCGTTCACAACGGCATGGTTTCGGATTCGCTTCGCCGAGTCGGCGTAACGAAGGGTACCCAGTGTTTCTTCGAAGTTGATATCTGCTGGTGATATTGCGGCAATCATTGCAGTCATGGAGTTTCCTCCTAGCGAGTCCTTCAATAACCATGTCAAGATCGAATCACGGTACGGAACCATGGAGGCGTTCTTCTTCTTTCCAGCGGCCACATCTGCAAGCGCTGCAATGACACGACCGAGAGTGGATAAAGAACGGTTGATTTCGGCTCCTTCCTTCAACCGGGCTCCCGTGGCTCCAGTGGATGTTGCTCTTTCGGAACCTGCAAGATCGACCAGACTGATTCGCGATACTTTTTCCGTGTCCATGGATGTCTCGGCGTCATGGCGTTTCTGGGTAAGAGTCAAGGTGAAGACGGCGTGCGAACGACTGGACGTTTCGTTCATGTTGGTAGCGGCAACCGTTCTCGCCTTGTTACCCTCATCCATCAAGTTCTCAATTTCCTCGAACGAGCGCACGACTAGCTTGGCCAGATCTTCAACATACGGACCCGTTGACGGATGTTCACGGACCTTAAGGTTCCCTTTATTTGAGGGATTGA